TAAAGTCCAGGACCATTTGGGGCAGGGGGTAGAGGAGGGAGGCAGGGTGGAGAGTTCAGGGGAGAGATGTCAGAGAGGGGGAGAGAGGGAGGGAGGGGAGAGAGTTCAGCATCCTGACCGCCTGGTGGAGGAAGCTGTTCCTCAGCCTGGTGGAGCTGCAGAACCTTCTCCGAATAAATACAGTTACACAGTGTTCGTTGTCTACCCAAATCATTAATTTTGTTCTTTCATTACAAAAAAAACAAGATTTGACTTTATATATAATCATTAATTTCATATAATAAATATGTATAATTTTTTTTAAGTGGAATTTAGTAGTTCTATTCATTGAATTTGTTGTGTCAAAAACATGGGCGCAATATGCCTTTTTACACTGTTTTTGAATTTAAAGTCTTTCTCTTCCAAACAAAAATAAGTACAAAAGTTACCAAAAATGTAATGTATTATATGTATTATTACAAATTAGCATGTTCATACGATATAAACATTGTGTCTGCTACGGCTGTTACACTGTCACATTTGTCATTACATTGACTGTAGGTACCCGTATGTAAACAATTCGAACACGAGTTTTATGTTGAAAGCTTTGACCGGAAGCCATGTTGTTAATGTAGTTTACTTAACACCAGTGCGGAGCAGCAGGACCTCCGAGGAAAACCGGAGAGTGAACGGGGCGCTTCTTGATTTCTGCTCCCTTTTCTCTCAGTTTAAGATTTTGACATACATTTATTTTAGTTTTGGCTCGTCTGGGCTCATCTTCTGGACCGAGTGGACTCCTGGAAGAAAAGACACAAACATGGAGATAGAGAAGGAAGTGAAGAAGGTAAGATTCCCCCCGGTGTTCTCCGTATCTCTCTCTGACCGGGGAACGCCCTGAAAAGGTGTGCCGAACCCGGGCAGGTGGCGAGAAAAGTTACACTATCACAGAGAGACTTTCTACGTTAGTTTTCCTCTTTCATTTAGAACTTTTTCCACAGACAAGTCTTTGCATTTTCACTGATTAAACTCACATTTAAATACTCCAAACAACACGTATCCACTACATCTTTATATATATAAGATAAACAATAACTGGTTGACTGCTTAGCAAAACTTAAGATGTTCCCTTCTTTCTTAGCAAACCTACTTCCCTTTTAGGGGAAGTACTTTTCCCACTTGAACAAACTTCACACCAAACCGCATTGGACATTTGGTCTACTATGTGTCACATTGCGTTTTAACAAATCTCATACGCGTTTAGACATTTAAAATCTTATTCAGCAAAACAATATAAGCTATGGCACACTTCGGCATGGATGTTGTACACGAAAATCTTGCAGTTTATACAAAAGTGATGTGAAGTGTTTTGGTATCAGTGCTTATTGCTCAAGACCGGACACAGATTCATATTGACAGTGAAATGCAACCAGTAGCAAAAGTCAATTTACCAAAGATTGAGAGGTGCTGTTTGTATCATACAGATGCCGAATCGTAGACCTACTCTCAGTAATGCTTATAAGATTTGAATAAATGTATTTCTCTTCATAAACTTGAGCTTTTAAGTAACAGGATGTAAAATTAGGTGAATATTTAATGGAATTTGGTCATGCATGGTAGGACCTACAAGTTATCTAGTCTGAAATGTGGATTGAAATGTGACTGTTGTTCTATGAACGTGTTGGTTTTAACTTACTATATTTGCAACATGCTACAGAGTTTGGATGTTCATGCATTTAAGATCAGATATTTGATCTTGGGTATGTTGCATGCTTTGGATTGTTTGCATACTTCTGATTAAGTCTGCTTTGTCTACTTATGACCCGCCATGGATATTTAGAGTGTATCTACTTTACGTTTTCTCTGTGAAGTTGTTGTTTTGAGAGCCAGTTCCCTTTCAGATTTTGTTGCTAATAATGTTTGCATGAGTTGTTGGCTCCGTGCATAGACCTGCATATGGCTGTCAGCAGTGTGTGTGTGTGTGTGTGTGTGTGTGTGTGTGTGTGTGTGTGTGTGTGTGTGTGTGTGTTTCCTGAATTAAGTTCTTTTTTTATCATCTGTATGTGTGATTATACTCCTAAAACATGAGAAATGTTTCATAATTTGCACGTCTCTTACGGCTTTAAAAGATTAGTAAAATACAAATAAAATTAGTTTTAATGTTTTCATTGAGGGACCCTCAATAAAATACAAATAATATTTTAGCAACAAAACAGCACACATTGTTGTTCCTTTGTTCAACCAATAGAAAGCTTGTGCAATGTGTCCACATTTGCTAAATTACTGAGAAAATGCTGTTTAAAATAATGTGGAAATGTGAATATTAGTTAGCTGTATGTAACCAGATCAATAGAAACACCTTTGACGATGTAATTCAATCCCACTGGCTCTCTGTGGGATCTTGACGTGAATGTTATGAAACTCATTACAATAATTTTACCAAACATAAGGTCGCACATTAGAACACACACATTTCATCAGTGTATCCCTGTCCTGTTTCCTCATTCCACGAGACTCACGGGGTTAAAATAATAACATTAGAAATCATCAGCGCGAAGCTAATCCCCGGTCTGTAAACATTTTAATACCGTGGTGATTAGCAGGGATCTCAAACCCCCAGTCTACCCCATCCCAGCTTCCTCTCCTAACCCAGCATTGGATCACCATTCCTGGGGGAGGCGACCAGGCGAGACCCTGGAAGAGGGCCACTCAATGCTTTGGACCCTCAAACCCCGAAAGCTAAACCCCTGGACTCTCGCCACTTCATTTCTCTAAGTGGCATCCGCCAACGTCATAACGTTAATTAAAATTGGATTTAATCAATTGGCTTTTAAGCTCAAATATATAATAATCATATAAAATATGAATTTTCTGTTATTTTTTCTATTTTTTGTAGTCTTTGAGTTGACTTGAATTATTCCTTTTGCTGGAGTCTGTTTATATATTTATCTGCTCTTTTAATTTCTGTGAGAAAGTGGGATGTTGTGTGTTCGGGGGGGAGGGGGGAGGGGGGGGATTTTTCAGATGAGCGAGCAGATGTTGCACTTCCTCAAGAGGGATTTATGTCAGGATAGGGACACACACACACACACACACACACACACACACACACACACACACACACACACACACACACACACACACACACACACACACTGGGCTTCATGTCATTATGTATGCATTTCAACAGTCAACAACATCCACAGACTAAAGACAGGCGACAGAGACGGAGGGAAAACACATTATTAACATGCTGCCTTCTTTTAAAGTTCAAATCCAAGTGATGGAGTGATGTTTTTCAATTGAATTGCTTGTTGGAGATTTACTTAGTGTTTGTGTATACTAACTGCTTCTTATGTTAAAAAAAAAGACTAAGAAAGAGGAACTAACCCAATGTGCTTTGCCTTTACTTTTTGTATTGCAGAAGCAGATAGCAGCTAATGTTAGCGTTATGTTATTTAGACAGATATGGCCAAGTTGTTGACATTATGGAGTCAGTTGTTTGACTGGTGACTAGTGTCCTAAACGGTTGTTCAAACAGTAAACACAATACACCTCAACCCATAAGGGTCCCATTATAATCGGTCTCAATTAAGACACCTTAAAGAATGCTAGATTTAGCATTGCACCTGATAACGATATTGCAGTCACAATGGAGTAGAGAATTAGCAGAAAAACATAAATACTTATCCAGCAAAACCAAAGACTACTTCTTTTTTCAATGCATTTTTCTTCCTCCTAAAAATCTGGCCCTGCAAGTAGTTAAGTCGGAGAATCTTGTTTGTTACGCTAGTAGCAGCTAATTTAGCCTCCAGCAGCTAGACTCCAGCAGAGATAAGGAGCGGGCTAGTAAGTTCTTAACTACTCCAATCCAGGTTTATTTCATTATTAACCATCTAGCCTTCAGCACCAACGAATACTGACTCAAGTGACAAGGTATCACATTTTACGCAGCTCCCTGTAAAGCCACAAAAGCTTTAAACTTATTGCACATTTACAGCGGTTCAACTGAGGCCTGTAAGGAGACTTTTATGTATTTCCATTTAAATCAACTAGATATGGGAGTCTTGGCAAATCACAGGAAGTTCAATCTGCTGTACCTGCATTGCCACTTGGGTCCTCTGTTGCTGTTTTGAGTACACCTGAATTGAGTTTCTTTCTATCTTTTGTGCTAGCGTCTATCAAATGGTAAAGAAGCAAGCATGTGGTATCGAGATATGTATATATTGCGAGTCATACTAAGATCCATATTTGCCATAAAGTAACCCTGCTTTTAATTTACAAAATTTCCCCACAATGATCTTATGCACATTTGATTGCTTAATACATAGCTACCATGTTCTGTACTGAATGGTAAATGTGTATTCTGATACATCACTCGGTGTTGGGTGATGCATCAGACCTGCTGCATGAGGTTCAGACTATTGGCTAACAGTGTTTCGGGGGTCTGTTATTGTGTTCACCTCTTTCAGCATGCACCTTCCTCCCAATCACCAACTAGTCATCACCAGACCACCAATAAACAAGAGGCAGAACAGGCCTGGAGACCCAATCAAAAGAAACCTGCTGCAGGCCTGTCCCGTGGTTCGAACCTGAGCAGATCCGGCAGCGTCAAAAACCTGATCAGTATATTCTCCTGTCCTTCTTCTGGGACCCAACAGAGCTTTTCACCTGGAACACTCCCAAGAGCTACTTCTACAGAAGCTCTCTACCCTTCCAGGTCAAAGTCAAGCCCTTCAACACGGAGCAAAGTCGAAAAAGACGACGCTTTTGTTCCCAGCATCACCGTGACCCCTCCGTTCAGGGAAACCAGTCAGAAAGTGGCAATGAAAGGAAGCTTTAACAGTCAGATCGCTGCCAGGATCGATTGTCCGGTAGATGTCAATCGATCGGCTGAGAAGACTGCTTCGGTTCCACTGAGAAAAACACAAACCAAAGACTCTGGTAACGACTCGGTAGCTGACTCCGGCATGGGATCGGTAAGCAAAACACTAAATGTCCTGGCCGACCGACCGTTTCCATGTCTTTGCATGAAACGAAAATCACTGGATCTTCCCCGTATGGAGACAGAATCAAAGCATGACATTGCAGTTTTTCAAAAATGCATGTCCTTGTATGATTAAGGCGTCGTTCACAATCTGATGCAGATCAAAAGCATGAAACTACGGCAAGATTCATTCTTCAATCGTACTAATCAAAATGGCCTCACATCCAATATTTAACTCTTGCTTTTCTTTAATTATTTACCTGTAAATGAGCTTTACATGTTGGTTTGTTTTCGATCTAAAAAAAATAACAACAATTTAACGCTGATGATTTTAACTGCCTGTATTGATTTTTTTCCTGCATGATTGCAGTAATTTGGAAAAATTAATTTGATTGGGACTAATGACACTTGTGTGCATTTCGGAATTTGGCTTGAGTTTCTATCTGGTAATTTGCTTGGTGTGAAACATAAGGGGCCTACTGTATAGTGGCCTGCCTATGGTGGGTTAAGGTCGTTGTTTTGCAATAAAGACATAGCCAAATCTTGGTTATGAAGTCCCATGTCATTGAGTTATCAGTTTCAAGCAAAGCCCAAGTCCTCAGCCCAAGACCTTTAATCAGTGTATTATCCTGTCTGTATGCACTGCCAAACACAACTGTCCTTCTTTTTCACACATGTGATTGGCTGCTTGCAAATTAAACACAATTCTTCCAACATCGTCCAACACCAGTGGGATGACCATGGGTCTGGATGTTGGAGTAGGTAGCTGCTTGCTAACATATTAACCAGAACGACTGTTTACTGTTCACCAGTATGTTATAGAGTTCTTCTGCCCCCTAGTGGTCAGAAAACTTGAAGTCTGCTTTAAAGAAACCCCAGTTGGCGACTTAAAAAAGCACTATAGCTGAAAAAGTTTGGGAAGAAATTGCAGAAACATATCAAAGTCTGGCAAGTTGTTTTGTATTGCTTCCAGAAAATATATTTTCTGACAAAGTTGACAGACTGTCAATTGATAGTTTCAAGTGTGATTTCTCTCCCCTGGAACTTTTCAGTTTTTTGCCCCTCCACCTTAATTTTGTGTTATATGTTGTTGTTGTTTTTGTTTTTTGTGAATCATATATACATATTCTCCCTGCTCACAACACCAGCATATCCTCAGTGAATTCACCCTCATAGTTCCTTTTGATTCATTTTGTATTTGTAAACTTCCTTCGAGCCTCCAACAGTTCCATTTTCACATATCATTCAGGTATATCTCATTGCTCCTTCCAACCTTTTGCCCTCTTCCTCCAGGAGTCAGAATTGGATTTGAACAAGCAGCCGGACAGCCCGTTGTCAGAGGATGAGCCCACCACACCCCGAGTGGTGCAGGCCACCCAGAATCCCAAATATCAGCTGTTCCTCAACAACGACTACAAGGTCAACGGGTTGAGTGGCAAGGATGCAGATGGGCCAGTTGGAGGTGGCGGGACGGGGGGGGAGAACGGCCCTCGGTCCCGATTCGAGAGCAACCGGCTGGGACAGGACCAAAACCAAGGGTCCCTGGAGTCCCTGGCCTCGCGGGACTGGGACAACACGTCTGACAGGGTGAGTGAGGCGGACCGAGGAGTGTGTGTGTGTGTGTGTGTGTGTGNGGGGGGGGGGGGTTTAGATCAGGTTTTTGATAATCACATATTTGTCATATCTGTGATTCCAGAACCAGTTATTAAACAGTGCCATCTCCTGGTCTAAACACAGCTTTAAGATATTTTATTTCCCATGCACTGCAACAAATCTCCATCAATCTATAGTATTTTAAAATTCCAAAAAGTTTTTGATCTTGAATCTAATTAAATATTATAAATCCATCTTTTTAAATGTTACTGTGTTCGCAAAGTATTGCACAATGGCATGATTAAAAAGTGTCAAATGATGATAGAAATACAAGTATTTGCTTTAAGGTATATTAAAAATTCCCATTTGAATATCAGTAAGGAATTGTTAATCATCAGTGTTTAATTTACAAACAGGATTGCATGCCCAATGAATATATCTGTTTACCACATTGCATTTGCTTTTATTTATTTAATATTTAATCAGCAGCAAAACACGCAAACCAACGATAAAATCAGCCCTTCTGAATCTGCCTTCAGTCCGTACTGTGATTGTTTGCTTTTGTAATTTCCATCTATTTGTATTTTGTTGCTCTCTCCTTTGGTCATGCTGTCTCTCATCACCGTTGTGTTTTTTTGTTTGTTTACAGCATGGAGTTGTTGACAGCCCTCCCCGGGTGTTCAACAGTCCGTACTCCGCGACCACCTCCATGGATTACAACCCCAAGCACCGGATGTCTGAGTTCAAGGTTAGTAGTGAGAAGCTATTTTCCTATTTATATCTTTAATAGATAAGGTAGGGTTGGAATGACTAGAAATGTCACAAAAACATGATACACTGATGTTATAAAAGTCAAAAATGTTCAGGCTATAAACGAAAACTTCCAGATACATTTTTTGTGTTGATATTTACAGAAGCCGTGAGAGGCAAGTGAAAACTAAATGTTTCTGGTAATCTATTTTCTAAGTTTGATCTTGGTTGTCTTATCAACTATTTATGACTTAAACCCAAATAAAACGTTGTCCAGATTATCTTTGTTATTAACTTAATTTAGTTGTATCATCTATATTTAAAAGTGTTACATAAAGGTTTTTAATTAGTATAAATAATATTTTATATATTTTTTCATGTTTGTTGTTGTCATATTCATTTTGTCCACAAGAGGCTGCTGTGCACCAGTACCACATGTTCTTTTTACGACAATTAAGTTTTTCTTGCTACCACACAGTTAATTTTCCTTGTGTTGAGAGTGCGTTCAGAATTGAATACTCAAAAACTTGGAGGAATTCTTTAGTCCTATTTTAAAGATGTGGGCATTGGTGTACTTCTGCCTCTTGTGGCCTAAATGTGCACTACAAGTAACACTCTTCTTACAGATAAGACGGATTATAAATTTGTTTTCACAAAAGTTTAAAGCTTAACACTTGACACTTAACACTTGACTTAACACTTGACTTAACACTTGAGAGAGAACAATTTGGATCAGATCATTTTGCTTCTGTCTTATTGGCCTTTCAGGGCTTCCGTATAAACTAATGTCAAGTTGTGTAATATTAACTTAAAAAAGTAGTTACATAAACAAAACGATAATATGTGTTTGCAACTGTCAGACCCTTGTTTTAGATGTAGCTTCAGCATTAGCAAGTGTTTCAAATTAGTGAAAAATCTATGAGGAAATTGAAAAGCCTCATCACATTTTCATGCATCGTGATGTAAAAGGTGTTCTGAGGCTGACCATCACTCGGTACTGACCCTCCTCTGTGCCCACCTCCTCCTCTCCAGGTTCCAGGGGGCATTTCTCCTGCCACCTCGGAGATGAACCTGTACAGCTTCAACAGTCGCAGCACCAGTCCTGTCTGCACGCCCACCCAAACCCGCCCCCGATTCTCCGCTTACGACACCCTGGTGAAGAGAAGGGCCGAGGTCAACAACCATGTGGTACGATTTCTCTCACACAGACAGAAACACACTCTATCAAAACTCACGTCCATACTATTTAATGGTTGACCGTGTTTAAAGGTCACCCATTGTGCAAAATCCACTTCTCCATGTCTCTTCTACATCAACATGTGTCCCCTCTTCTTCATGTCTCTTCTACATCAACATGTTTCCCCTCTTCTACATCAACATGTGTCCCCTCTGTGTAAAGAGACTCTGAAAGTTTCAGGAACAAAGACCCTCTCTCTTTTTGTCTTGATCTTTTTCTATAAAAACCTGTCTGAAAATGAACTGATCAGATTTTGGACACTTTATGATGTCATAACGATGTTTTGGCTTGTGTAACCATTAGCCAATCAGCAACCAAGGTAACCCCTCCCCCCCACCTTATCACCTGAATCTCCTCTAGAGCACCATTGTGTTCTTTGTAACCAAATCTCTCTCAGAGGGGCGTGGGGAGGGGCTCCTTATTTTCATCTAAAGTAACAGTCAGAGAATCAGCACTTTTGAAACAGGGCTGAAACAGAGGGGATTATGGGTAATGCTGCAATGACCTGTTTGGTGTTTCGAGCCAAACACTTCAGAGACATATTTGTATATATCTGAGACCTATAATAAAGTAATGAAAAACAGTTTAGTAGGGGACCTTTAAGCTCTATTGTCTCCTGTTAATCAAAAGATAAATAACTTTATTTACAACACTGCTAACAGTCATGTTTCTCCTCTGTGTGCAGACTGTGAGTGCAGTGCAGCCGGCACCGTGGATAACTCCTGCCGGCCGGACCCCCGCACTCGGACCTGCGTCTGTAAGCCGGGTTTCACTGGACACCACTGCGACACCTGCGCTCCTGGTTTCCACGGACTCAACTGTCAGGGTGAGGGAGGGTTACATACATATACAATATAAAAGGGCTCCAACCAATGATTATGGTAATGACTCTGCCCGATATTTAATTAATTATTAATCCTTTGGTTTATAAAACGGGAGAAAACACAACTGCCCCTAAATATTCTATTTATTTTCATTTTAAAGCAGGTAGTTATCACATGGAAGAACCTAAAACCTCATCATTTGTCTAGACCGCCGCACTTCAGTTGAATGGTTTTGGGCCCATTTGTTCTGCTGTTCCAGTTTACCACCCAGGAGCACACACACACACACACACACACACACACACACACACACACACACACACTC